GCTTGCAAAGAGAGGCACTTGGTAATTCTGATTTCAGGGACTTAGCATTTCCACTAAGTCCTTGAGCTGTTTATCTCATACGGCCATATGTTCATGTTGTTTCCAAGTGATCCGTGCCTATTTTGAGGATGATCAGTAAGGATGTTTTATTAATCTTGTAGTGCTCTATCCATCCATGTCTTTGTTTGCATTTATGGAGCACCCTAGATTGAGTCAATCAAGCTCTACTTTTGCTACTTTGTGAATCTGGGTAGATTGTCTACTTGTTAGCGATTTTGCCGATGATGCTGTAGTTGATCCATGCATGCTATGTCATTGATCTTGCCATGTCTAGCTTGTATTTTGTGTATTCTTGATGGGTGTATGCTTAGATTATCATGACTTGCTCCGTAGTGAGTGCATCGAGCTCGTAAACATGCCTACTTGATATCTGTTTTCAGCATGCTCCAGTTTTCACCAAGTTTGAAAACTGATTATGCTTTTGCTATGTTCACATGCTTGCAGTTGTATTTTCTGATCCCTTTTGGCTCAAGGTCACTAAGGGACTTTTGTTAAGCTCTTTGAGTAGCTCCATTCCATGCTTTACTTTGCCATGTTCAGGTCCTGTAGCATGTAGTTTTGTTGCTCCGAAGAGTGCTACCTGATCTAAGATTCCAGACAAGTGTTAATTTCACTAAGTCTGAGATCTGTTTGCCAAATGCATTTTTGCCATGCTTGTTTGAACCTGTTAATGGATGAATTGGCCGTAGCTCAGTGCTAGACTTTTGTTAAGCATCATGAATGCATCCCTGCCATGTATTGTGTTGTCATGTTTGGGTGTTGTAGCATGCTCATCTCATTGCATTTAGATGGCTACTTGCTGTAAATTGCAGACCGGTGTCATTTGAATTGCTTGCCATTTCCAAACCGTAACTCCGATTCCGGCGTTCTTTATATTGTTTTCAAGCGATTTCATCTCATCTTTCCAGTGGCACACTTGGATTCCCAAGTTGAGGCCAGGTTCATGCATCCTTTGTCAGATCTTGCATATGCATCCCGCATCGCATCCCGCATAGCATACCATCCTTGCATCATATTGTTTGATCCTTGCACGTGATTGATTGTGTCCTTATTGCTTGTTTGTCTTGTTTGCGTAGAGTCGGGAGACGAGTTCGCTAACGAGGAGCCCGTTGAGTTTGCTTTCGAGGATCCAGTCAACTCTGACAACTTTGCAGGCAAGATGATCATACCCTGAAATCACTACTATCTTTGCTATGCTAGATTGCTCACTCTTTTGCTATGCCAATGCTACGATGCCTACCACTTGCTTTCAAGCCTTCCAAATTGCCATGTCAAAACCTCTAACCCACCTTGTCCTAGCAAACCGTTGATTGGCTACGATACCGCTTTGCTCAGCCCCTCTTATAGTGTTGCTAGTTGCAGATGAAGATTGGAGACCGTTCCTTGTTGGAACATTATTTACTTGTTGGGATATCATTATATTTCCATGTTATCTTAATGCATCTATATACTTGGTAAAGGGTGGAAGGCTCGGCCTCTCGCCTAGTGTTTTGTTCCACTCTTGCCGCCCTAGTTTCCGTCATATCGGTGTTATGTGCCCGGATTTTGCGTTCCTTACGCGGTTGGGTTATAATGGGAACTCCTTGATAGTTCGCCTTGATTAAAGCTTTTCCAGCAATGCCCAACCTTGGTTTTATCATTTGCCACCTAGCCTCTTTTCCCTTGGGTTTCCAGAGAGGGTCATCTTATTTTAACCCCCCCCCCCGGGCCAGTGCTCCTCTGAGTGTTGGTCCACCCTAGAGCCCGTTGCAGCGCCACCTCGGGGAAACTCGAGGGCTGGTTTTAGTTGTACGGATTGCTTATCCGATTGTGCCCTGAGAAAGAGATATGTGCAGCTCCTATGGGGATTTGTCGGCACATTCGGGCGGTGTTGCTGGTCTTGTTTTAACCTGTCGAAGTGTCTTGAAGAACCGAGATACCGAGTCTGATCGGAACGTCTCGGGAGGAGGTCTATTCCTTCGTTGACCGTGAGAGCTTGTCATGGGCTAAGTTGGGACTCCCCTGCAGGGATTTGAACTTTCGAAAGCCGTGCCCGCGGTTATGGGCAGATGGGAATTTGTTAATGTCCGGTTGTAGATAACTTGAACCTTAATTTAACTAAAATGAATCAACTGAGTGTGTTGCCGTGATGGCCTCTTCTCGGCGGAGTCCGGGAAGTGGACACGGTGTTGGAGTAATGTTTGTGCAGGTTGCTCTCTAGTTTCTCGCTCGCGCTTTGCTTCTTCTTCTCGCTCTCTTTTGCGAACAGGATAGCCACCATATTTGCTAGTCGCTTGCTGCAGCTCCACATATTTACCTTGCCTTACCTATAAGCTTATATAGTCTTGATCGCGAGGGTGCGAGATTGCTGAGTCCTTGTGGCTCACAGATTACTATTGCACCAGATGCAGGGCCTGATGATTCCGCTCCAGGAGACGCGCTTGAGCTCAAGTGGGGGTTCGACGAGGACTCTCAACGTTACTATATTTCCTTTCCTGATGATCAGTAGTTGTGCCTCAGTTGGGGTTGATCGGGACCGTGTCGCATGTTGGGTTATGTTTTATTTTGGCGCCGTAATCGGGCCATGAGTGTTCGGATGATGTATTGTTATTTATGTACTTGATTGATGTGGCGAGTGTAAGCCAACTATGTTATCTCCCCTTTTATTATCTATATTACATGGGTTGTTGTGAAGATTGCCTAACTTGCGACATATGCCTTCAATGCGATTATGCCTCTAAATCGTGCCTCGACACGTGGGAGATATAGTCGCATCGAGGGTGTTACATCAGTGGTCTCAAAAATGAACCATGAGGAATTCAAAGTAAAGTGTAGGCTAAAAGACAAAATTACCTCTTAATAGGGAATATATCGTTTTTAAACGATCACGAAGACAACTCTCAAGTTTGTCAAATGTATGGTTATAAAAAGATTATACCTATGATTACCAAACCCTCAAATACATAGTCAAACCACACCACATATTTGGGATAAATTTTAAAATTTGCAAACTTGCAACCAGAAAATATTCTGGTAAATGATTGTTCTCAAATCTTCATCAGAAGGTGAGAACCAAAAATTTAGTGCAACAAAAGGATGGTGAATTCCATTGCAACGATGATATGTTTGCGTAATAAATTGTTCAATAATATTAGAGACCTCATGTAACCTCTTAATTATCTCAAAATATTATTAGCCTATACTTGTTGTACTACAAGTAGTGCGGTGTCCAATATCTCATTTCTCGGACATGATATTCGATAATTTTTGAATGTATGAATCAAGTCATACTCAATATTGTTGCGTACACAATAATTTTCTAGGGATGATTAGAAAATTATTGACAATTCTGTTGGTCACAACTTATCAAGTTACAAATTTCCCAAATCATCAGATTTCATGTGCACCGCATGTGCCATAGGGGAAATAAGTTTTAAGGCACTCTCACCTTAAAATTCTAAACAGGACAGCTATTCTTCCTTAAACACATTTAAAAGATATGTCTGGAATGCTTAACCATTATCTGGCGAAGGGGGAGCAGCGCATCAGCGCGCGGTTTGTTTGCCTTGACTTTCTCTGCTCCGCGTGGGTCGCACGCACGCACATGGCTCTGGCTCGGAGATCGCTCAGCTCACCGACCGTGGCCGCGTTCCACGGTGACCAGACCAGCCGATGCCGACGGCCGCGAGGAGGAGGGAGCATCCGGTCGTGCGCTCGGCCGCTCTGACCTGACACTGACAGCGCCACACCTCGCCTGCCACTCACCTCAGAACGCACTGCAAACAAAACGGTTTTGCACTGAGCTTGCTGACACGGCCTACAATCCGATATACCACGATCCATCAAATCTGTCTGTTCGTGCCAAGGCATCAAAGGATGGATGGATGTAGACGAGTCGGACGAATATCTCGTGTGCTTAATAAACAAAAACAGTGGCCCATCGCGCATTGTCGAGCGGGGTGGCGATCGAGTTAGCCACGCGCCTAGACGTTTTCTGTGACGTGGCTGTCGAGGACAATGAACAAGCAGAGAATCGCGCCGGGCGTGACGTGTTTTTCGGCGTCTAGTCCTGCTGAGCACTTTGTTATTGGCGCATTTGGCATGTGTGGCGGCAGATGAGCAGTGCAGCAAGCGGGGTCGGGTCACTTGGAGACAGGTCCCCGGGCAGTACGTAACGTGCTGCAGTGCATGGACAAGCAAGCACCCCGGGGCGGGACGGAGAAGAGCAGCAGCGGTTTGTTTGCCCCACCCTACTTGCGCCGCATGGGCGTCGGGACCAACTGATCGGCGATGCCCACGGCCACCCTAGCCGCCGGTGGTGCGCTCGCCACTCTGAACTGACACAGTCAAAGGCAGCTTGAACTCTTGAATACAGAGAATTAGCGCTTAGTTTTATTAAAAGAAAAGTACTCTCTTTGTCCCTAAACTCCTGGAAGAGTCTAGGTTTGATCCTCGGCTACGAAACCAGACAACTTACATACACCCTCAACTCATGAAACCGAACAAGTTTCATCCCTTCTCTCGGTTTTGAACAGTCCATGCCAAGGTGGCAAAGGAGACCCTAGATTGACCATGCCTACCGCACATGCTCCTCGATGCCGTACCTTGCTGCCACATCTACTGCCCCTCGCCGTCGGACCTTGTTTTTGCTTAATCTCGACTGTCGCCTGCCCTTCCTGCTGAACACTGCGAGGCAACGTGGCCGCGATGAGCACAACCATTGTTGCTTGTCGTGGAAGAGTGGATCCACTTGGTAAGCGCCGCCGCCGATTGATTTTTTTTCTCTTGATTTTGGAAACGAAAAGGAGACATGTAGCAAGAGCGGCCCCTAGGTGGATAGGAGAGCGATGCCGCGGTCCATGGAGAAGAGACATAGGGGCGGGGGCATGGTCTATGGATAAGAAGCAGAGGGATAGCACGCTGTCGGATCCAAGCGGTAGCCCCGCGCATGGAGGCCACTGATGACGGCGAACACCACCACAACTGCATGGTGCCCCAGCCCGATCACGGCGGCGACATGCTCCATCTTGGCGACGAGCAGGTCGAGCCAAGACGATCATCCCGCTCTTGTCGCCGCACTCAAGTTGCCGAGACCACCATCGCTGCCAACTTGCTCCTCCCTGTGTCCCCTGCCCGCAGACGCCACATGAGAGATGGGGAGAGAGAGAGAGAGAGAGAGAGAGAGAGAGAGAGAGAGGGTAAATCGGGGGGGTCTTCTTTGCCACATCAACATGGACCAGTCAAAACCGGGTGAGTCAGCACCAAAACCGGTCAAAACCTAGAGGAGGGACTAAAGTTCTCTGATTATCAAGAGTTAAGGGTGGAAGGTGTCTGATTTCATAGTTGAGTGATCAAATATAGACTCCGTCAAGATTTGAGGGATAAAAAGTACTAGGATTTTCTCTTTTTATTAAAGACGCATTTTAGTAGGGTTTTTTGGAAAACCAGTTATAGTAGGTTGGATAGGGATGAGTATACACTGACAGGTTGACCCAGGTGTCACAATCAGGGTCAAAACATACTCCGCGCTCGGTCAATGCATTCGCTGAAAATTTAGCGTTGTCAATGATGGTTTTGGTCTAATTTTTGTGATATGGTGGCAAACAGCTAATGACGTTGCAGTCGTGGCGGGTTATGCTTTTTTACCCGTTTTTCATAGACCGTGCTATTTTTATGGGCACGCGGAGGCGCACGGTGACCGCCGCCGCGCTCCACGGTGACCAGGCCAGCCGATGCCCACGGCCGCGGGGCGAGGCGAAGCATCCTGGCTGCCGGCCGTGCGCTCTGACCTCACATCGTCACTCGCACCTCGCCCGCCACTCAGCTCAGGCTTTTATAACAAGGATGGATCACTGCACTACAGTGGTTAACTTTCACTAGGGGTACTGCTTCAGATCGGTGCACTTACCAGACCAGCGAGCGTCCGGTAAACGAAATAGTTTACGCTGAAAATACGGACACGGCCTACAGCAACAATACATGGCCCATCAAGTCTGCGGCAGTAACTCGAGATTAGCACTCGGTTTTGACAGAGCCAAAAGAGAGTTCGTACTTAGTTACGGCAGGTTTAAGGGGATTAAAGAAGTCACGCCGAGCGTTAGTGGACGGATGAAATAAGAAAATGTTGTTGCAGAAAGAGATCTTTGTCTGTTGATGCTAAGCCGCCACGGCAAGGCACATAGGCAGGCAGTGGATGGCGACGAATATCTCGTCTCGTGTGCTTAAACAACGTCCCATTGCGTATTGTCGAGCGAGGTGGCGAGTTAGCCATGGGCTGCTGCAACGTGGCTGTCGAGCGAACAAGCAGAGCATCTGGGTGTGATGTGTTTTTTCCGTCTTTGAACTATGTTCAGGCCTGCCTCTCCTTTTGAACCACGGCAGCACTTTCATATTTCATGTTTGCACTAAAAATACTGAGAATAATTAGACTTTTGTAAAAACAAAAACCAGTTACCGGTAAAGAAACAAAATAAAAGCAAAAAACAAACAATATGAAGAAAATCAAAAAACAAAAGTATAACGAAGAAGAAAAAACCCAGAGAAAAAGCAAAGTATAACGAAGAAAAAACAGAATAAAACTGAAGAAAAATAAACAGAAAAACATTTTTTTCAGAACTATAAAAAAACAGAGGAGCGCGAGCAACTACGCTAATGGGCCGGCCCAATTCAGCGAATACCAGCTAAGTCCTCTCAAGGTTCAAAATAGATCGGGATCAGAGAGATTAGTGTGCTGGTTTCAGAGATTGAGAGTTCTGGGTTTGATTTAAGGTTTATTTTCAACTTTTTCCCATTTGAGGTGTGTGGCAGCAGATGAGCAGCATAACAAGTGGGTCGGATAGCTTGGAACGGAGACTTTGCACCTAAGCTGATCACACAGGAAACAAGACCCCCGACCAGCAGGCACGGATCCGCAATGTGTGCATGGGCAACCAGCATCCGGAACCGGGATCAACATGCTGGATTCGGGTGCGGGTAATGGTCACCTCAACCCGTACATGTCTCATTATTTTTCGCCCAAACCCGTACTATACCCGCATCTAGGGTTTCAAATAGTTTTCATATCCGTACCCGATCGGGTGTGGGTAATACCCGTAGGTAAAAATACCTATCGGCCACCCTACCCAATTCACACTTCACTGTGTATTTTTCAATATCTACACATATACACACAACATTTCAATACATATATACCACATTTTAGCATTTGTGCACATACAGATGATGATTTGCTTTGCGATGGAATAAAAAGATGATATTAATTTTCAGAAATGGATAGCAATAAGCCCGAAATAGATTGCACTAAACAATGTCCAGTCATATACATGGATGAGTAGCCTGTAAGTGGACATTTAGAGAAACATTCACATCTATTCTTTTTTACAATTACAAGACAAACAACAAATTTCTCTAATTTTCTATTATTTAAGGTACTTCTGAAGCTCCTATTTCGAAATAATCAAATGAAAGAGACTATAATAATCAACAAAATCGTGAGTTCACAAAGATCAACACATTTAAACAAGATCATGCTTAAGGGGAGAGAATTTTGGGTGGAGGCTAATGGTTGTGTTAGCCTAGGGTACAATGGGAGAGTAGAGGTGTAGCACGGCTTCTTGGCTACAGATTTGCCCGCCACCCAGGGCTCAAAAATGATGGGTCGATCCCTGGCTCACCTGGGGAAGAATAGCGAGAAGAAATCAAGCGAGCGAGATCGCTGCCGGTTTCATGCACGTAATCGGCCAACCACGAGGACACGGGAGATTGATTAGTTCAAAGCGGCGGGCGCGCGTGTCGGCCTGCCACGGGAAACCCAAGCAAAGCCTCTCACTCACTCGGCCGACAAGCGGCCGGCAAGCAGACAGGCGGCCCGCCTCACCCCCAACACCCTGTCCCCCTCCCGCCGATTCTCGCCGATCCCGCCGATGGTGCGCGTATATATATGCCCAGTCGCACCCGCCGGCCGGCATCGCATTCCCTCCCACCACGACTCCATCAACCAACCAATCCAGAGTTATTCTGCCTTTGCAAGAATCGCAGCTGACAACTACTCGGCTCTAGCTGGCCCGGATCGACGCGGCATGGAGCTGGAGCTCGGGCTGGCGCCGCCGACCAACGCCGGCCGCCCCCCACTCGGCAGCGGGAAGAGGGGCTTCGGCGAGGCGTTCGGGGAGGACGAGGAGCAGCGCAGGACGTCGACCACGACGCTGCCGCTCTTCGACGACGGCAGCAGTAGCAGCAGCTGCGACAGCGGCAGCGGCGGCGGCGTTGGGGGGAGCAAGAAGGCGCTGGTGGGGTGGCCGCCGGTGAGCTCCGCGCGCAGCAGGGCGTGCGGCAGGCACGTGAAGGTGTGGAAGGAGGGCGCGGCCATCGGGCGGAAGGTGTACCTGCCCTTCCACGGCTCCTACGCCGACCTCCTCGCCACGCTCGCCCGCATGTTCCCCGACCCCGCCGGCGACAGGGCGGGTTGCCTCGGTGGTGCTGCCGGCAAGGGCGAGGGCGAGATGGTGGTCACGTACGAGGACGCCGACGGCGACTGGATGCTGGTCGGCGACGTGCCGTGGGAGTAAGTCCATCATCATCATCTCCAATTTCCATTTCAAAGAACACAAAATCCTACTGCATCACTGAGTGTTAGTATAACTGAATAACTGACATCCTGGTGTGTTGATGTCTTTTCTGCAGGGATTTCGCGCGGTCGGTGAAACGCCTCAAGATTTTGCTCTGAAGAAACAAACAGAACGGCACTGCTAGACTTTGAGAAATGTTTTTCTTTTCTCTTCTGTGAGATTTCAGCTATGCAACTTCAGTGGCTGCTCATGTTGCAGACATCTTGTAATACTATAAATACTTATAATATACTACTACAACATTTCCTCGTATCATTTTCCCGTTTTCTCTCCCAGAACGTGTAAACATGTTGCGGCTATATGTATGTTTTTCCAACCAGAATACAGTGTCAGTTGTCAAACTGTCTACCCTATCGAAAAGGGCCAATTCAACTCTGCTACTATGTTCGATCGATGCTCTGTCAGATGAGATCCTTTTTTATTTCATTCGTTCCCAGCTGATTTCTTTTCTCGATGGAAGCAGGCCAGTGCAGGCTCGATTTGTAAAGCCTCAGCGGCCAGCAGTTTTTGCAGGTAAGCAGCTGTTACAGATGCTGACAGACAAGCATATATTATGCTCGGTCAGATTCTGCACGAACACTGGACATGAATGTGACCTGACGGGGGAATGTTTGCTCTGAAAGGAGGATCGGTGTGGCGTGCTGGCAACCAACTTCGCTTTTGCCTTGTGTTGTGGTGTGACACTGTTGGGTTTGGAAGAAAGCTTCAGTCTTCCCGATTTTGATCAACCATAGTAGATAGACAAAGACAGTACGCACCCTTTGGGGACTCCCCTTGGTTGGATGGGAAATAGTCTAAGGACATCGCCTCTCTAATCTAGGACTGCAATAGCCAGCGACCGTTCGCTGGCGGGGATGGCATTTGTGAACGGCGTGCCTGGCAGTTTTAGACTTTTAGTGTTTGGGGAATGACATTTTGACCCCAAAAATCATGGCATTTCGCTTATTTTAGTGTTTTTTTATCTGAAAACTGTCACCGTCAGGTCTTGATCATGTGGCTACGAGGGGGTTCGCTCGGCTTTTCCTCCTGGTAAATGGTCGCCAGATAACATTAGGGCTAATCTACATGGCTTCAACGTGTAAAAAGTGAAAGGTTCGTGAACCTTTGAAGGACAACGTTTGGATTCTCAACATCAATCTCGATCACATAGCCTCTAAGCAACACCTACGAGAATTTGACTCCCATTGGCTGCTCCTTCGGGATACTCACCTTTCGGAGGATGTTGAGGATGACATTGTGTGCCATAACAAGGCGAGCGGGCTTTACTCCTTGGTTTTGGCGTACAAAGCACAATTCATAGGGTCCACGAGCACTACCTTGAGGTGTACCATTTGGAATGCTTGGGCTCCACCAAAAGCTAAATTATTTGTTTGGCTTGCTATTCAAGATAGAATTTGGATAGCCGATCGGTTGGCGAGGCGAGGTTGGCAAAACCTCTATGCCAAAGAGTACAAGAAAGTGGGACTCACCTTTTTTTTTCAAATGTCGATTCACTATTAGGATTTGGAACTTGGTTAAAGATTGGAATGCACATGTGTTCAGTCACAAATCCACCCCACCGCCAATCATCTTCGAAGTCATCAAGAAGGAAGCAAACATTTGGGTCATAGCAGGTGCATAAAAAATAGGAATATCATGCCAAGAGAGTAATAATCTTTGTGTAAAAAGGACGGCGTGTTAACAAACTCTATTCTTCTTCTTAATTAATGGACGAGGCAAAAAAAGACAGTTTGTACATTAAATGAAAGGAAAATAAATAGACAGAGAGTATTCAATAGCTAGAAGAAAAATAAACAAGTAATTTATTTATGTTGGCATAAAAACAAACCCCAGTCTACTTCCCGTGTCTCAACGTTTTCTCCAAGCATTTGATGAAGAAACTTTCGAAATAAGCTTGCACGAGTTGTGCCTATCTTATAAATTCGACAAGTAACAATAACCATGCACCATAAGGAGTTGGAATCTGAAAAAAGAAAATTAGATGACTGTGGCTTGTGACAAAAATAATAATCTAAAATGACGGGTTTTCCCTAACAACTCACCAGATCAAGATGCAAGAATACAAATAACACACAATGACAAAACAAGAAATCACACAGCTCTTCACATCGATTTTCTATGTCTACAGCTCTACCAGGTGAAGCTAGTTTATTTGGGAGCAAACAAGGCACAAGGGAGCTAAATGGGTTGATCTGTTGCGGTTTTACCGACTATCCATTTCTAGGAGTGATGAATAGGAGCTCCCCACGTTTGGAAGCATCTTGGGGGGTGAAAGTAGCACCGTCCTCCCGGCGTAGGCGGCCATAGCGAGACCTCCTATTATACACTGTAGGCTATAACTTGTCGCTACTCGCTAAGACGGGTAGGTGGGCGCCCTCCTAGCAATTCGTGCGCTTCCCTATCAATGTCGAGACAAACAATTTTTGTTATGATTTCAGTCTTTTTTTTTCATTGGATTTCAATTGTTTCTGACCATTTTTAATCCAGGAACAAATTGTTAAAGAAAATATTCACGAAATAAAAAAAAAAGTGCACTTTTTTTATTTTTTGTCGGAAAAAGTGCACATTTTTTATTTCGCGGAATATTCATGAAATAAAAAATGTGCATTTTTTAAAAATGGTCACCAGTTCAAAAAATATTCATGTATTTTTAAAGTAGTCAAGAATAAAAAATAATCAAGTATTTAAATAACATTCCAAAAATTTGAAAATTATTCATGTGTTTCAGAAATTCCATTCAAAAAATTATTATATTCTATTTAAAATAAAAGTTCATTGTTTTTTTAAATCAGGTATTTAGAAACTAGCTTCTGTTTTCAAGAAAAGGACATTAAATTTTGAAAATATCCATAGATTCAGGAATTTATAAAGAAAACAGAAAAGGTAAAAGAAAGAAAACTGAAAAGATGAAAAAAAAGGAAAAACCATGCCTATAGAAACCCCGAATTCTTTTCAACAAAATCCGCTATTATTGGTGTCGCAGAAGAGACTAAAAGGTAAATTAGCCAATGCCCAAACTAAGCTAGGTGGTGGGATTAATACCAATATACTGATATCCTTCCCTATGAGCAAGGAAGAACATATTCCGTCCATTGTGGTAGGGCGCGTCTTTGTGTTGCTTGTATTGGTAAGTGGGCCGACCCGGTAACAGTTCCATTGTTTTTTTCACTTCTTCTCTTACTTTTATTTATATTTTGAGAATTTCTAAATACATGTATACCTAAACAATTAGTTAATTTACTATTTGTTTAATGTCATTACGAAAATGAAAAATGTCCACACACGTCTAGGACTCCCACGGTCACCGCCGAGGCATCATCCATCCCGCTGGGAGGAGACGGGGTACTTGGCGATGACATCTATGTCAACTCAGACGCGGGCATCTACGTGGATGGGTAGCAAGGGTGGACGGTGGCGATGGCTCGAATGCGGGAAGTGGAGGGCGAGGGCGGGAGGAGGGCAGCTTATTTTGGTTGACTTGTTCAATTTGAAGGGATTTGGCATGCGTACGTTCTGTCGGATCCGACGTGACGAACGCTTATGGGTGAGCCAAGGCCTCCCATATTTGCCCAGATATGAGTTGATCTTGAGGGGTGCCGGATAGCCTCAACGTATAGGGTTGTTTTGAGGGGCCTGTGTGTAGATGCTCTTACTAGTCCGCTTTTCCATTCAACTCTGGTTTGTAAATCGTTTGGCCAATTATTTTTTGGTTGGAAAAACGATAGCCAAAAAAAAGTCAAAACACACTTTTACTTATTTATTACTAAAAATGCGTTGAGTGCTGCAGATCAAGCAATTGGTATGTTTCCGAAAAGGAAAATACTTCCTCCGATCCAAAATAACGTCGCAGTTTTAAACTGGCTAGTTTAAAATTTTGCGACCATACGGAGCGGAGGGAGGGAGTAATTGATATACACTTCAAAAATGTCATGACACACAGACCACCGGGGCACTTTACCTTTCGCCACTTCCATTTTTCCATGCTTCGAAATTCGGAGAACGTGTAAACGAAATCGAAATTCCAAAGCCCAAGCCCAAAATCGATGGAGGGAAGCCACCCCCAGGCAGCGAGGGAGATGGCGGGAAAGCGAAACCCCTCTCCCCACCGACACGTGGGCCCACAGCCTCCCAGGGGCCCACACGGCAGGCCAATCTTCCGACGGAAGGAGGCGCGAGCGGGAAAATAAATCGCGGCTCGCGCCCGATTTCTCCCTCCCATTCCCCCAAACTCTTCCCCACCCCGCTTCTCCTCGACCCTGCCGCCGCCGCCGCCGCCGCCGTCCCCCGCCCGCCGTCGGACGCCAAGATGCTGGAGCTGCGGCTGGTGCAGGGGAGCCTGCTGAAGAAGGTGCTGGAGGCGATCAAGGAGCTGGTGACGGACGCCAACTTCGACTGCTCCGGGACCGGCTTCTCGCTGCAGGCCATGGACTCGTCCCACGTCGCGCTCGTCGCCCTCCTCCTCCGCTCCGAGGGCTTCGAGCACTACCGCTGCGACCGCAACCTCTCCATGGGCATGAACCTCGGCAACATGGCCAAGATGCTCCGCTGCGCCGGCAACGACGACATCATCACCATCAAGGCCGACGACGGCTCCGACACCGTCACCTTCATGTTCGAGTCGCCTAGTAAGCAGACCC